ATTCCAATCTGTCCTCAAATCTGCCTTCCAGAAGGATCCAGAGCCTCTCATCTCCTCCACTCCAGACCTCCTGGCTTCCACCCCGTCCCTTCTCTATGAGGCAGCCTGAGGGGTCCTTTTGAACAGAATGGATTCTGTGACTCCTCTGCTCAAATATTGCAAGGTCCTTTTTGAACCAGCAACCCCGTCACTTCGCTGACCTTCCCTGCCCCCTCCTGCTCCCTCTCCTCCACCACGTCCCCTCCTGCGCCCAACCCTCCAGCCAGGCTCAGTGCATGGCCTCTGCTCAAAATAATCCTTCCCCAGATATGCGCACGGTTCCCACTTCCTCCAAGTCAGCTCAGTGAGGCCTTCCCGGCTGCCCTACTTTAAACTGCAATGTCCCCACTCCACCCAGCTTCCCAGCACCCCTTATGCTGTTCTGTGTTCTTTCCACATCACCTTCTCTTTTTTTTGTAAGACAGGGTCTCACTCTCTCACCCAGGCTGGAGTGCAATGGCATGATCACGGTTCACCGCAGCCTTGACCTCCAGAGCTCAAGGAATCCTCTCACCTCAGCCTCCTGAGTAGCTGGGACTACAGGCATGCACCTCCACAGCTGGCTAATATTTTTTATTATTTGTAGGGACAGGATCTCCCTGTGTTGCCCAGGCTGCCCTCGAACTCCTGGGCTCAAGCGATCCCCTCACCTCGGCCTCCCAAAGTGCAGGGATTACAGGCGTGAGCCACTGCACCCAGCCCCCATCACTTTCTAACAAGCTTTAGAATTTACTGATAATCAGAGCCACCTGTCACTGGCTGTCCCCTCCCACTGCAGTGTAGTCTCCATAACGCCAGTTGATGTATTGCAGGATCCTGGCATGCCATTAATAGCCAACAAATGAATGGTTGAGAGGTGGTGACTTACCAGAGCCTGCCACCTGCAGCAGGACCAGGCAGCTCACAGGGAACAGGAGCCAAGGGCAAAGCCACCCCATTGGGAGATGCCGAGGCATCTGCAGACAGAGAACAAGCTGGTTAGTGCCAACCTGTGCTTCCAGCAGCGCTCACCTTACTTAACACTCACCCCCTCCCTTGCCCTGCCCTGTCCTCCCCACCCCCCCACCCTGCCCTATCCTCCCCACCCTCCCACCCCCAAGACGGAGTCTCGCGCTGTTTCCTAGGCTGAAGTGCAGTGGTGCGGTCTCAGCTCACTCCAACCTCCACTTCCTGGGTTCAAGCAATTCTCCTGCCTCTCAGCCTCCTTAGTAGCTGGGATTACAGGCCTGGCTAATTTTTGTATGTTTAGTAGAGATGGGGTTTCACCATGTTAGCCACGCTGGTCTTGAACTTCTGACCTTGTGATCTATGCTTCTCAAAACGCTGTAGGCTAATGTAAGTGTTCCAAGCTAGGTTAAGCTATGATGTCCAGTAGGTTAGGAGTATGAAATGCATTTCTGACTTAATAATATTTTTAACTTAAGATGAGTTTATAGGCACAGAGCCTCATCAATAATGAACATCTGTGTATGAGACACATACACACACTCATGTATCTCCATAATGAATAAAGTACCCCAATACTTCAGCGTACATGCCAGAAAAACAAGGACCTTCCCTGCATAACCACAATACAACCATCAAAATCAGGAAATCAACATGCACGCATCGCCACTGTCTCACGCACAGCCCCTGTTTGCGTTTTGCCAATTGCCTCAGTAATGCTCCTTATACATCCTGAATCCCATCCAAGATCATTCATCGCATTTGATTATCGTGCCATCCTAGTGACCAGGTCTTGGCTTCTAAATGCTATTCTGCACTGAAAGGAACCAGAGCTCCTTAGAGTAATGGCTGATTCCGGGAGAAGGAAAAGTACCAGATAAGTACCGGTGAGGAAGTGCTTAGCAGCTAGCTTGACCTGGACAAAATGGACACAGTCTGAGCATCAAAGTAAATATTATGGTACCCACTTGTAGCGCTTGGAGTTAACATCCAGGAGTCTGTACTGACATAGAACAATAAATGGGGGGGGGGTGCAGTGGTATGTGCCTGTAATCCCAGCTCCTTGGGAGGCTGAGGCAGGAGGATGGCTTGAGCCCGGGAGTTGGAGGCTGCAGTGAGCTCTGATCGCACCACCACGCTCCAGCCTGGGCAACAGAGCCACACTTCATCTCTAATAAATAAATAAATAGGGAAGAAAAGAAAGCTCTAAGAACAGCCTCAAAGTAACTCCCTGCAAAACTTGTATCTTAACGAATGAGTGCAAATACGTATCAATGAACGTCACAATACAGAAGCCTGGCAGTCACCACCTTAACCAAGTGCTCTAACTAACCAGCAGGAATGGGACAAATCGCCATCGTCACCTCCCTGAAACAATGCCTGAGAAGAACACAGCATCTTCTCCTGGGTTCCTGCCGGGGATGCATAAACCATTTGGAAACGTCAGACGGACTTAAAGCGAGGGCCGGCCTATGCAGGAACTAGCCGACACTCCTCACGAAGTGCCAGGGTGCAAAGGACAAGCCAGCGTGGGACAGCTGTCCCTTTTTAAATGGTCTGTCATCCTGACAGCCAGGGTCCGTCTCATTGACTGCTGAGTCCTCAGTACCTACAACGGCGCCTGGTACCATCACTTTCATCGATTAAATTCATTTTGGGCCGGGCGCGGTGGCTCACGCCTGTAATCCCAGCACTTTGGGAGGCCGAGGCGGGTGGATCACGAGGTCAAGAGATCGAGACCATCCTGGTCAACACGGTGAAACCCCGTCTCTACTAAAAATACAAAAAATCAGCTGGGCATGGTGGCGCGTGCCTGTAATCCCAGCTACTCAGGAGGCTGAGGCAGGAGAATTGCCTGAACCCAGGAGGCGGAGGTTGCGGTGAGCCGAGATCGCGCCATTGCACTCCAGCCTGGGCAACAAGAGCAAAACTCAAGTTTCAAAAAAAAAAAAAAAGTTCGCTGGTAGTTCATTTTGGACATGACGTGGGGCCCCTGACCAGCTCAGCATGAGGCTGCAAAACTCCCCCTAGGGGAGGCCTGATGTCTGCTCAAAGCCCAAACTCATCTTCCTTGCTGAGACTTACAGCAGAGCTACAAAAAGGGGGGGTGGGAGTGGGGTGGTGGGTTCCCGAAACGGATTTCCTCCGCAAGTCCTGGTAACTTTCACTCTCACACCTACACAGATGCCCACAGTATCCTGTGGTAGAGATGGTAAAGGTGTCACTTTAGCCTCAATTTTGAATAAAGAGGAACAGAGAGGCCGAGACGCCTGTCCAAGGTCACACAGCAGAAGATTTTCACGGTAAAGTCCTCCAAAGGGAAACGGGGGAGTCGAGTAACCCAGTCAGGATTCACTAAAACTTCACAGCATGGCGTCAGGATTGAGATCCTTAATCTGTTGTGGAAGGCAGACCCAGACTTATGAATATGCACGTGCGTGCGCACAGATGCACACACACACACACACACACACACACACATACCGCACACATGCGTGCCACAGCCAGCTTCTCAGGGATGTGTGGGTGCTACATTTCAGGGGAAATCACAGCGGCAGTGGGAGAAGAGGCCTCCCTGCACATCAGAGGGAAAAAGAACAAAGATGCAGGTGAGTAAAAGAATTAAAAAGGTAAGTGCCAGGTTATCATGATCAAACACATGGCAGGAGAAGTGAGTGCAAGTTCCCATTCTAAATCAAGAGATTCCTGAAGTGCGGGAGCTGGAAGGGGCCTCCGGGGTCACCTGCCAAGCTCAGCTGCCAACCTGGGCAAGGATATCCTGGGCACACCCCACCCCTGATGTGTTGCCAGGTAGTTTCAGCCTGTACTCCTCCGCGGATGGAGCACTCACTCTCAGGTCTTGGTTAAGCAGAGCCATTGGAACCAGCCTCCTTACATGGACCCAAGGCTTTGTGTCAACAGAACCCCTGCTTGCCCAGCACTTACCTTGTACTTGACACTTTGCCAAGTGCTTTAGAAGTATTACCTTAACGAATCCACACAAGAATCTTGCAAGGCAACTTTCTAGTTAAGGAAACTGAGGCCAGAGAGGTCACATAACCCATACACCAAGTCCCACAGCTGGGTAAAGGGCAGAGCTAGAATCAGAACCCACGTTTTTTTGCTTCTGAGCCCACCGTGGATTCCAGTATACCAGTTCCTTCAACCTCATCGCCTAAAGCAGCAGGCTGAACCCAATAAAGTGAAATAAAATTAGCCGGGAAGAGCTAGCTATCCTGCTTGTCAATTTCAAGCAACTGTTCCACAGGCGTAGGATGAGGAAGTCTGCCCGAGAGGCAGAAAATCCTGGGGATTTTATCATCTTTGAAATCTCCAAAAGCCAATGGTGAAGCAGCAACTCAAAAAAAAAAAAAAAAAGGCGTCACCTGAGGTCATATTAACAGAGTATCCATTTATAGAATGTTACATCTCATAACAGGAGAATACATATTCTTCTCAAGTTCATGTGGAATGATCACCAAGACAGACCACAATCTGGGACATAAAACAACTTTAAGAGCTTTAAAACATTAGAAATCATACAAAGTATGCTTTTAGGCCACAATGAATTCAAATTCAAATTAGAAATCAGTAGCAGAAAAAAAAAAAAAAGAAACCAGTAGCAGAAAGAAAGCCAAAACATTCTCAGATATTTAGAGATTTAAAAACACACTTCTGAATAACATATGGATCAAAGAAGAAATCATAAGAGAAATTAAAAATATTTTTAACTAAATGAAAACGAAAATATAGCCCATCAAAATCTGTGACATGTAGCAAAAGCAGTGCTTAGAGGGAAATTTATATTATTGAATGCATATCTTAAAAAGAAAGTTCTAAAATCAATAATCTGTTTCCGTCTAGAATACTAGAAACAGAAGAGCAATATATGTCTAAAACAATCAAAAGAAAAAAATACAAAATTAGAGCATACATCAATGAAATTAAAAATAGAAAAATCAATCAAGAAAAATCAAAGAAATCAAAAGATGGTTCTTTGAAAATATCAATGAAATTGATAAATCTCTACCTAGGCAAATCAAAAAAATTAAGACAGAAGGCACAAATGAATAATAATGTGATATAGTCTGGCTCTGTGTCCGTACCCAAATCTCATCTCGAATTGTAATCAGAATTGTAATCCCCATGCATTGGGGGAGGGACCTCCAGTTTCCCCGTGCTGTTCTCGCGATAGACAGTGAGTTCTCATGAGATCTGATGGTTTTATAAGGGGCTTTTCCTCCCTTTTCTTGACCTTTTCCTTCCTGTCGCCATGTGAACAAGGGCGTGTTTTGCCTCACTTTCCGCCATGATTATAAGTTTCCTGAGGCCTCCCCAGCCCGGAAGAACTGTGAGTCTAACCTCTTTTCTTTATAAATTACCCAGTCTCAGCCATGTCCCTAGAGTAGCGTGGGAATGAACGAATGTTACTGTAAATTAAATAAAGCCTATTAGAGGTGGCACATTCCTATAGCCCCAGCTACTGGGAAGGCTGAGGCGGGAGGATCGCTTGAGCCCAGGAGGTTAACCTGCAGTGGGCTGTGTTTGTGCCACTGCACTCCAGCCTGGGCAACAGAGCAGGACCCTGTCTCAAAAAATAAAAAAAAAAATAAAATTTTTAAATGAAAAAAAAAAGTGGCACTATATAATGATTCAGGGGTTAATTCTCCAAGAAGAAGTAACTAACAATCCTTAATGTGTACGCAACTAACAACAGAGGGTCAAAATATGTAAGGCAAAAACTGAGTGCAGCAACGAGAAATAGAGAAATCTGCAATTATTCTGAATAATAATACTATTGGGTAATATTGGAAGTTGGAGACTTCAGCACCTCTCTGTAATCGACAGATCCAACTGGCAAAAGTCAGTAAGGACACAGTCGAAATGAACAGTGCTGTCGATCAACTGGATCTAACTGCAGTGTGCAGCCACAGCTGGGCATCCCTTTGGAAGGAATGCTGCCGTAATGTATGATAAGCACCAACACAGAGATGGCCTGAGAATCCTGGAAGGCCTAGAAAGTCTTTACCAGGAAAGCTCTGCCCTCCTGTACTGGGCAGCCTCACCATTCACTTAACAAATAGTTTACCACATGCCAAGTTTCCTTTTAAATCTTTTACATATATGAATCCATTTAATAGTCTATGAAATAGGTCATGGTACTTTCTCCATTTTCAGATGAGGAAACCAAGGCACAGAAAGGTTGAGTGATTTGTCTGAGGTTGCACAGCTGTGACAGTCATGGGTATTAAATCGAGCACTCGGGGCTCCAGAGCCTTGGTTCTTAACCTCTATCTGTCCAGAAGTCAAATTCTCTTGTGTTTCAGGGGTCAGTGACCTATCTGATGATCTGAGGCAAACCTCAAATCCTATTTGTGGTAATGTGCACACACTTAATTCTGCATTCCATTTTAGGGATTCACAGAATCCCTGAAGCCCAAGTGAGGACCTCTGGTCAAAGGCCCGTCCTCTATGCAGTGGGCAGCTTTTGAGGGTCTCTGAGTAGGAGAGCAGCGAATTTTTCAAAAGCCCATTCTGGGGCTGAGAGAACTCTGGGGGCATGCGGGCAGTGAGCACTCACTGTTGACGAGGCTCACCCTGCCTCTTCACACCACAGCCAGAGCCATTTATGGTGAAACCCCGTCTCTATTAAAAATACAAAAAATTATCTGGGCATGGTGGCGCATGCCTGTAATCCCAGCTACTCAGGAAGCTGAGGCAGGAGAATTGCCTGAACCCAGGAGACAGAGGTTGAGCCATTGCACTCCAGCCTGGGTAACAAGAGAGAAACTCCGTCTCAAAAAAAAAAAAAAGTCAGAAATGAGGCCAAGGCCTGCTCACACATCCAATGCCCCCTGGCCCCTGAAGAGCATCTTCACCTGGGGCCACAGATCCCCAGTGGGTTCACAGCTCATCAAAGAGAAGCATCTCCCGCTCAGGATAAAATCCAGGCCCTGGAGTGAAGAAAGCCAGTCCCCGGAGAACATACCCTGTGACTCCACTTATGTAACATACTTGAAATCCCGTAACTAGGGAAATGGAAAACACATGAGTGGTTGCCAGGGGCTAAGGGGGTGGGTCAGGAAGGGAGCAGATGTGGCTATAAAAGGAGAACTTGAGCCATCCTTGTGGTAATGGAACTGTGCTGAATCCCGGCTGTAGAGATGAATAACAAACCTATGCCATGATAAAATTGCCTAGCTCTAAACCACATGTGTATGCAAACCCAAATGTGTACAAGTAAATCGGGAAATCTGAACAATGTAGGTAGATTGTATCAATGTCAACATCCTGGCTGTGATGCTGTATTACAAATTTGTACAATCTTGCCCTTGGGGGACTGACTCATTCTCTCTCTCTCTCTCTCTCTGTCTTTCTCTCTCTCTCTCTTTCTAGACAGAGTTTCACTTTATTGCCCAGGCTGGAGTGCAGTGGTGTGATCTCAGCTCATTGCAACCTCCATCTCCTAGGATCAAGTGATTCTCCTGTCTCAGCCTCCCCAGTAGCTGGGACTACAGGCACGTGCCAACACACCCAGCTAATTTTTGTATTTTCAGTCAAGACAGGGTTTTATCATGTTGGCCAGGCTGGTCTCAAACTCCTGACCTCAAGTGATCCGCCCACCTCAGCCCCCTAAAGTGCTGGGATTACAGGCACAAGCCACCGCACCCAGTTGATTTCTTACAACTGTGTCTGAATCTTTAATTATCTAAAAATAAAAAGTTTAAGAAAATAAAAGAACCAAGCCCCCTGACAATCTAGCTCCTGCTTACCCCTCTAACATTCCCCTCCTATCCCCTCTCCCTCTTCTGCAAGCCTCCATCAGCCTCTGAGCCCTGGGGTACACTCCCAGCCTCTTCCCTCTTCAAGCCTGTGCCCCGGAAACACTTCAGAAGCCTTCTCTGACCCACCCATCTAATGCGGGCCCTCCCTGTAACTTGTCACAGTGCCCTGTTTATTTCTGTGATAGTGCTTATCACCACCTCTAATCAGATTAGTGAGGTTACAAGTGTGAATGTTTATTTTATTTCAAGATTCAGATAGCAAAGATGGCTTTGATTGCAAAAATATTTTCAATTTCCCTAGATTTTTTTTTTTTTTTTCAGATGGAGTTTCCCTCTGTTGCCCAGGCTGGAGTGCAGTGGTGTGATCTCAGCTCACAGTAACCTCCGCCTCCCAGGTTCAAGCGATTCTCCTGCCTCAGCCTCTCAAGTAGCTGGGATTACAGTAGGCTGCCATCACATCTGGCTAATTTTTTGTGTTTTTAGTAGAGACGGGGTTTCCCCACGTTGGCGGGGCTAGTCTCAAACTCCTGACTTCAAGTGACTGATCCCCCTCGGCCTCCCCAAGTGTGGGGATTACGGGCATGAGCCACTATATCTGGCCTAGATCAAAATACACCATAAGAAAAAGAACACAACCGTGTTAGCCCATTTTTGCATTGCTATAAGAAATGTCTGAGACAGAGTAATTTACAAAGACGTTTGATTGGCTTACAGCTCTGTGGCTGCACAGGAAGCATGGCACTGTATTTACTTGGCTTCTGGGGAGGCTTCAGGAAGATTTTATCCATGGGTGGCAAAAGGGGAGCGGGTGTACATGGTGACAACCAGAGCAAGAGAGGGGAGGGAGGTGCTGCACACTTTAAAACACCCAGATCTTGTGAGAACTCACTCACTCTGGCAAGGACAGCACCAAGCCATTAGGGATCTGTCCCTATGACCTGACGTCTCCCACCAGGACCCACCTCCGACACCGGGGATCACATTTCAACAAGAGATTCAGCGAAGACAACATCCAAACTGTATCAGCAAGCAAAAGACTAGAAAAGGGTAGCAATCTACATTATGAATGGTTAAGGGCCTTAATACATGAAGAGTTCTTACAAATCAATAAGACAAACACCCTTTAAAAAAAAAATAGGCTGTGTGTGGTGGCTCATCCCTGTAATCCCAGTACTTTTGGAGGCCGAGGCGGGTGGATCACCTGAGATCTGGAGCTCGAGACCAGCCTGACAAACACGGAGAAACCCCATCTCTACTAAAAATTCAAAATTAGCTGGGAGTGGTGGTGCACGCCTGTAATCTCAGCTACCTGAAGGCTGAGGCAAGAGAAGCGCTTAAACCCGGAAGGCGGAGGTTGCGGTGAGCCAAGATCACTCCATTGCACTCCAGCCTGGGCAACAAAAACAAAACTCTGTCTCAAAAAACAAGAGAGAAAAGAAAAAGAAAAATAGGCAAAGAACATAAATGGTTCACAAAAGACATATTCCATGGTCAGATGTGTAATAGGCACTCTCAATATACTGTTAGTTGGTGAAGCTGGGAGTATAACAGGTAACCTCAAATTTAAACAATGTATTTATCTATAAACGGATTGTTTGCCTCCCTCTGTGGGACCACTATGAGACCACGAGAGCAGAGCTTTATGTCTGCCCTCCACGCTGCTCTATCCCAGTGCCTACAACAGTGCCTGATGCAGAGTATGCGTTATAGAAACACATCTTAAATGAATGAATGGTTAAAATTCAGCAAGCGTAGTGCAGGAGCAGTGGCTCATGCCTGTAATCCCAGCACTTTGGGAAGCTGAGGTGGGTGGATCACCTGAGGTCAGGAGTTCAAGACCGGCAGGGACAACATGGAGAAACCCCATCTCTACAAAAACACAAAAATTAGCTAGGCATGATGGTGGTGCCTGTGGTCCCAGCTACTCAGCAGGCTGAGGCAGGAGAAGTGCTCGAACCCTGGAGGCGGAGGTTGCAGTGAGCCGAGATCGCACCACCGCACTCCAGCCTGGGCGACAGAGCAAGACTCTGTTTCAAAAAAAAAAAAAAAAAAAAAAAAATCAGCAATAATAAATTTAGTAATCATTTTTAAACATGAACCAGGTCTCAAGGTTTTGTCCATAGTAACCGTATATGCAGTACTTACTTTGTCTGGTACCGTTCTAAGTACGTGCAATATCTTAATCAATTGGGTTCTCCCAAGGAGCCTCTGAGGTGGGTGCCATTAACATTCCCATTTTACAGATGGGAAGACTGAGGCACAGAAAGGTTAGAGCACTTGCTGGTGGTCACAGAGCCATAACCTAGGCACTGTCACTCCAGAAACCATGCATTTAACAACTGTGATTTCTGACCCTTGAAATGCAGTCCCCGAAACCCTGGAACTTTGTCCAGGGAGCCCTACTGGCCTAAGACCCGTTGGCCTAAGCCCCAGATAGAGCAAGTGACAAGACCCAGGTCACACAGTTAGGAAGCAGCAAAGTCACTGAAGGCCCCAGCCAGCCAGGAAGCCACGGCCCGGAAAAACATGCCCGCCAGCAGGAAAACACACTTAACTCACTTTTTTAAAAAAACTGGGGGGAGATTAAGTGGTGAGTCTTGAAACGTCAGAAGCCAGCAGCAGCCTGGAAGCAACCCAGCAGGGCTCTTGCGGAACCCACAAGGGCTCAGGAACCCACAAGGGGAGGTACAGGCCTGCTGGTCTTCTCCCCTCCTGGCAGAAAGCCCAGCCTGGAGGAGAGGCTGGTTCTGCAGACAGGATGCCGGCAGCCTCAGTCAGGTGGCACGTAGAGAGGAAGCCAGGCACGGCAGGGGCTTCACAGGGTGGCGGGGTGGCCTCTGGAGAACCGCTGACCCCTGAAACTCCACGATAGAAACCAGCCTGAAACCTCAGCTCCTGTGGTGCAATCGGTCAGTCATGCTACTTACAAGAAACCGGCCCTGAGCTTCCTCTGGCCTCTGGGACAGCTGGGCTGGGCTGGCAGGAAGCTAGGCACGCACTTCTTCCTGGGACAGCAACCTTCCCAGAACGGGGGTTTCCAGAACTGGCAGCCACATCAGCGGCCATACTGGGATGGTGAGGCAGCCCAGGCCAGGGCTCCAGTACGGCCTGGGGTTTTTCTGGTTGCCTCTGTCCTTAGCCCAGCCAGTGGGAGGGAGGGGGAGGCGACAGACTGGCTCAGCAGCCCCCAGGAACACAAATCAGCACCCTTCACAAACAGCACCCACCAGCCTCCCTGTGGGCCTGCTGTGGCTCACCCGTCCTCACCCACTTGCTAAACTACCTCATGTATTCTCTTTCTCTCTTTTGTTTTAGAGACTGGGTCTCGCTCTGTGTCCCAGGCTAGAATGCAGTAGCACCATCATGGCTCACTGCAGTCTTGAACTCAGCTCAAGCGATCCTCCTGCTCTAGCCTCCCAAGTACCTGGGACAACAGGCACACACCACCATGCCCAGCTGATTTCTAAATTTTTGTAGAGGTGGGATCTCTCTCTGTGGCCCAGGCTGGAATGCTGTGGTATGATCATAGCTCACTGCAGCCTCCAACTCCTGGCCTCAAGCAATCCTCCTGCCTCAGCCTTCCAACGTGTTACAGGCATGAGCTGCCTTGTCCAACCATTTCCTCATTTATTCTTGCTGTGGGTGTTTTCTGAGCACTTCCTATGTGCTGGCTGTAAATTACAGATGGGAACAAGCCATTCATGAATTCATTCATTCATTCCTTTCTTCTTGTAACAAATATTTGAGCAAGGCAAGAAGTTACTGGAGCATTCTGAGCAAAAAAGTAACATGAGACTTTTAAAAAGACCTCTCTTGGCTGGGTGGTGGGGTCACAGGTAGAAGTGGGGACCAGTGAGGAGGCTACCACACTGGCCCCAGAGAGAGGTGCCAAGGCTCACACCAGGCTGTGGGGAAGGGGAGGTTGAGAAGGGGCTGAATTCTAGATCTATGTTGAAGGTAGAGCCCACAGGATTTGCTCACAGGATGGATGCTATGGGGTGGGAGAGAGAACAAGAGGGCTAATAGGAGTCAAGAATGATTCCAGAGCCATTGGCCTTTACCAAGATGGTGGACTTGGTAAAGGAGGAGGAGCCATTGGCCTTTACCAAAGATGGCGGACTTGGTGAATGGGGAGGAGCCATTGGCCTTTACCAAGATGGCGGACTTGGTGAATGGGGAGGAGCCATTGGCCTTTACCAAGATGGTGGACTTGGTGAATGGGGAGGAGCCATTGGCCTTACCAAGATGGCGGACTTGGTGAATGGGGAGGAGCCATTGGCCTTTACCAAAGATGGCGGACTTGGTAAAGGGAGAGGAGTCATTGGCCTTTACCAAGATGGTGGACTTGGTGAATGGGGAGGAGCCATTGGCCTTTACCAAGATGGTGGACTTGGTGAATGGGGAGGAGCCATTGGCCTTTACCAAAGATGGCGGACTTAGTAAAGGGAGAGGAGTCATTGGCCTTTACCAAAGATGGTGGACTTGGTAAAGGGAGAGGAGCCATTGGCCTTTACCAAAGATGGTGGACTTGGTAAAGGGAGAGGAGCCACTGATCTTTACCAAAATGGCGGACTTGATAAAGGGGGAGGGTGCCCATGTGAGAAGCCTGACGGGCGAGCACCAGGGCTTCTTCAGATTAGCAGAGGAGGCAGTTAGCAGGCCCCTGGGGAAGATACCCCTGGTCCTAGAGGGTCAGGTTTCTTTAGGGGTGATGCATAAGAGTTTTCTGGTGGGGGGCCCCAGCATCCTGCATACAGCAGGTGTTCAATACATGATCATGTGTATTTTATTTTATTCTTATTTTAATATGTATACAGTGTTTCCTTGGCACCAGACACTGGCCTAGGTGCTTTAAGACCTCCCTATGAGATAAGTACAGCTATTAAACCCATTTTACAGATTCTGAAGGTTTTTTGTTTTTTTTTTTTGAGACAAAGTCTCACTCTGTGGACCACGCTGGAGTGCAATGGCGCGATCTCTCTCAGTTTACTGCAACCTCTGTCTCCTGGGTTCAGACAATTCTCCTGCCTCAGCCTCCTGAGTAGCCGGGACTATAGGTGCCCACCACCACAACCAGATAGTTTTTTGTTTTTTTTTTTTGTATTTTTAGTAGAGGCAGGGTTTCACCTTGTAGGCCTGGCTGGTCTCAAACTCCTGACCTCAGGTGATCTGCCTGCCTCAACCTCCCAAAGTGCTGGGATTACAGACGTGAGCCACTGTGCCTGGCAGATTCTGAAGGATCTTACAAGAGGGCAGGGTGAAGGAGGGGATGAGGGGAGACTGAGTGAATAGCAGGCAGGAGGGAGGGCACAGCCCACTTCCCACCCTACAATCGGGGCCCTTGTTTGGAGCCAAGGGGAGAAGGAGTGGCTGGGATGGCGCTGGAAGGTTGGCAAAACACCGTTTGCCAGGCCATGGCGGTGGACTCAAACTCTGCCTGCAGGGCACTGGGGAGCCAGTGAAGGCTATGAAGCAGGAGAGGAGCGGGCTGAGGTGAGAGCTGTTGAAGAGGGGCAGGGTTGAGCCTGTTTGGGATCTGGAGGCAGCAGGGACTTGGTGGCGCTTGGCGGGGAGAGCAGGGGCGGAGGGAAAGTGGCCTTGGGCTGGGGCAGTGGGGAGGACCCCAGGACCCTTCCCCTGACGGAGAGCCCGGAAGAGAAGCAGATTTGCTGGGGAGGACCACGCGCTCCTGCGTGCTGTGGATACCCTGAGTCCACGCAGTCAACAGGCGACTTCATCCAGGATCCTGGAAACCAGGCCTGTCTTCAGAAGATTCCAGAGGCCCAAGGGAGGAGACAGAGCCTGAGGAATCGTGCCCAGAAGCCACCCACTCAGGGGCAGCAGCCAACCTGGCCTCCGTCTCTCTGTGACCCATTATCTTGCTTTATTTCTCTGCACCGTTTGCGGCATACCGCATGCTCGGGTGTTATGGGTTTGGTGCCCATATCCCCCACTGCAAGCCCGGCCCACCCAAGGCCAGTGTCCATCCCGCTCACAGCCATCTCCCCAGAGGCTAGCACAGTGCCTGGCACACAGCAGGCGCTCCATGAATATTTGCTGAATGAAGAACGACCAGATGAATCCCCTGGCCGTGTGCAGGGAGCCCTGGTCCATCATCCCGGCTTTTCCTCTTCTCCCTGCTGGACAAACGCTGGCAAATCCCGGCTTGGGGTCCCCTTAAATGTCCTAAGGCGGGCACAGATCTCAGCCACCTTGGGACCCTGACCTCCGGAGAGCTGGTTATCAGTGATCACTCACTGTCCTGAGCAGCGGATGATGGCCTCTGGCGCCAGGGTGCTGATTAGATTCTGACTGTCTTAGTGACAGCCATGGCTCCCAGCTGGCCTCCTTCCTGAGGTCTGCAGAGGTCACTGCGACTGCCCGTGTGTCCCCACTTCCTTTGGCCATGAGAGGCCATGCCCTGGGCCCTTCTGCCCGTGGTTTCACCCCTCCCCTACTGTGCGCAACATTGCTCACCAGCCTCAGCGTTGTTTATACCAGTCTCACTAACAAAAAAGCACTTGAAGGCTGGGCGCGGGGCTCATGCCTGTAACCCCAGCAATTTGAGAGGCCGAGGCAGGTCGATCGCTTGGGTCCAGGAGTTCAAGACCAGCCTGGGTAACATGGCAAGACCCCCATCTCTACTAAATATACAAAAATGTATCCAGGCATGATGGTGCATGCCTGTAGTCCCAGCTACTAGGGGGGATGAGGCAGGAGGATGGTTTGAACCCAGGAAGTCAAGGCTGCAGTAAACTGTGATCATGCATCTGCACTCCAGCCTGGGTGACAGAGCGAGACCCTATCTCTCAAAAAAAGAAGCCCTTGAGCCTCACTCACTCACTTAACCATGACCCGGATCCAAGGAGCATTGTAGATGCAATTAATATCATCTCCATTGCAGAGATGGAGAAGCCAAGGCCCAGAGAGGGTCAGGAACCTGCCTGAAGATGCACAGCTAGTGACTGGGCTGGGATTTGAACCCAGGCCTTTGGCTCTGGCGTCCACAGCACAGTGCCCGGCACAGAAGCAGTCATAAACTTGTTTTTTTATACATCACTCTTTTTGCTTTTTCTGGAAAGCTCAGTGTGGAAGATACAGTCAGACATTCTCCCTGCAGGAACAGAGCCGGGAATGAGGCTGAGGTGGTTCAGAAATTGCCCGAGGCGACAGAGCAGGAAGTAATCAGGCAGGAATTTGGCCTTTGTCACCATTTGCTTGGCCCACAGTGGCAGCAAACTTGTCTCGACAATGACCGGGACTTTGCCCCCTGGGTATAACCAAAGCCGGGACCACATATGGGCACAGATAAGAGCTTCCTGTTCATTTTCCGCCTGCAGACTGGCATGTGGCAGGCGGTGGGTGGGGGCTCCCCATGGAGCTCTTCCTGTTGTGTCACCCCATACCATTCCTGGATGGGTGGGGACACACAGACATGGGGGCCACCTGTGTGGGTAGGGACCCTGGAGCATCTAAGACATAGAAATATAACTCTGGGCCTAAGTGCAGGCTCCACCCTGACTGGGTGGGAGACCGTGGCAGGCTGGGGCCTACTCAGACCCTCAGTCTCCTCATCTGTGAAATGAGAATATGATCACTTGCTTCATAGGTAGTTGCAAGGATGTGAAGAGGCCATGGCTAGGTGAGAGGCCTGGGACAGTGTTGGTGGAGTGGGTGGCAAAGGCTCATCTCTGAGCACCAAGAAAATTCTTTGAGATCTTGAGCAAATGACAGCTGCCACAGGATGTCACAGATACAAGCTGAGCAAAGGAAGCCAGGCTCAGAACAGCAATGCTGCCTGGCTCTGCTTAGATAAAGGAAATAATCTGATCTTGGAGTTGGCAGTCAGGACGGTGGCCTTGGAGAACAGGGCTGTGACCTGGCGGTAACAGGAGGAAAGCTTCTGGGAGGCCTGTCATGCACTGCTGCTTGATTAGGTCATATTCGGTCATAAAGCTTTACACTTGTCTGTACATGTGTCTGTAGGTACGCCGTGATAAAAGGGCAAAGAATGCAGACAAGAGGCAGAGGCTGCAGTGAGCCGAGACCGCGCCACTGCACTCCAGCCTGGGCAACTGAGCAAGACTCCATCTCAAAAAAAAAAAAAAAAGAAAGAAAGAAAGAAAAGAAAACACACAGGAACAAGAAGGAAGGGGAAGGGCAGAGGCTGCCATCTAGGCTGTTGGGTGGACAGCGAAGATCTCAGAATCTAACCCTCAGGGTAGGTGGGATCCCAATGGCCCCTTAATCCACACCCGATGAAAACCTAGGTCCCCAGGCCTCTCCAGAGGCCACCAACCCTCTACCTTTCTGCCTCTGGCCCACAGCCCACAGCCACCTCTCTCGTGGCCACAGAGCCACGCCTTCTGGAGTAAACGCAGATACCTACAGGTACAGAGTCACGTGACCTCAAGGAGTAGAGAGGGAACACGTGGAAAATACACCCCTCTGTGATAAAGGACAGCTACTTTTTTGCCACATGAAAACGAAGGCTTTTATGTTGCTAGGTCTTTTGATTTTTCAAAAGAAATTAGAATGTATATTTGTATGTGTGTTATCCTGGCTTTTTCTTTTCTTGTTTTTTTTGTTTTTTGTTTTTTTTTTTTTTGAGACAGAAAATCTTGTTCTGTTGCCCAGGCTGGAGTGCAGTGGCACCATCACAGCTCCCTGCAGCTGTGGCCTCCTAGGCCTCAGCGATCCTCCTACCTCAGCCTCCCGAACTGCTGGGACAGATACAAGAATAGTACTGGGAAGGGAAGAGTGTGGTCCCTTTAAATAATACAGAACGGGGGAAGGGAAGCGCTATGTGGAGGAGGGCATGGCCCTGGCTAGGGTTCCACCCCCACGGACTTCAGTGAGAACAGGCATTTCCTGTCCAAATGTGACATTTCTCAAGACCATCCTGGCCTGCCATGCCCCCATCCTGTGCCTATAACTCCCCAACTGAAAAAAAAAACAACAAAAAAAACAAAAAAACCCAGAGGGGCAGGCAGGACGGGGTGTATTCTCATTTTACGAATGAGGAAATTGAAGCCCAAACCAAGAAAATGATTTGCCCTAGATTCTAGAAACAGAGCAGAGACGTCAGTGCAAGGTTTGCTGCTGCTGTTGTTTTTAACTCATCTGGCTCATTAGCACAGGAGGACTCACATAACACGGAATTCATGGCAATGATGTCTTGAGTAAGTGCTAGAAGAGAGAAGGCGGACAGGTTTTTTGTTTTTGTTTTTTTTTTGAAAAGAGTCTTGCTCTGTCACCTAGACTGGAGTGCAGTGGTGCAATCATAGCTCACTGCAGCCTTGAACTCCTGGGCTCAAGTGATTCTCCCGCCTCGGCCTCCCAAGTAGCTGGAAATACAGGTGCACACCACCACACCCAGCTAATTTTTTTTTTTTGGTAGAGGTGGGTTCTCACTATGTTGTCCTGGCTGAAAGTTGGCTCTTTTATACTAATAAAAAGGAGCAATTCGCCGGGCGCGGTGGCTCATGCCTGTAATCCCAGCACTTTGGGACGTTGGGAGGCTGAGGTGGGCAGATTGCTTGAACCTAGGAATTTGAGATTGGCCTGGGAAACATAGCGAAACCCGGTCTCTACAAAAAAAATACAAAAATTAGCTGGGCGTGCTGGTGCACATCTGTAGTCCCAGTTACTGAGGAAGGTGAGGTGGGAGGAGCACCTGAGCCTGGGGAGGTTGAGGCTGCAGTGAGCCGTGATCGCACCACTGCACTCCAGCCTGGGCAACAGAGTGAGACCCTATCTCAAAAAAAATAGGACCATTCACCAGAAAGTTATGAAAATCCTGAACCTTTATTCTATTCTTATGGCTATGCACCAGCATAGCTTCAAAAATAAAGCAAGAAATTGATGGACTCAAAAGGAGAAATTAACAAATCCTCGATTCTAGTGGCAGGTAAATCAGGTAGAAAAAAACACACAATAACTTAACAAATATAGATCATATCATAGCAGCCTGATCTAATAGATTCATTTCTAGAACCTTATAATCAACAGAAAATATACATCCTTTACAAACACAAGAGGAAAGCAATGACCAGAAAAATCCTACAAAGACCTCTGATCCTACAAAGAAAAATCCTACAAAGAACAAATTCTCCACCACTGATATTAAAGAAACCGCATATATTGATCACAACAGCCATAATGACCGAATTTAGAAACCAACAATAAAAAGAAAACTTTAAAAATTCCATTCTGTCTCAAAAATTTTAAAAAGACATAATTAAATAATCTTAAAATAGAAACCAAAAGGGAAATTATGAACTGGGCAGGGAATAACATTGCGTAACAAGTTGTGGAATGAAACCAAAGTGGTACTCAAAGAAAAAATCATAGCCTTTCAGCCTGAAGTAGATTTATTAGAGAGCAAGAAAAACCGGAAACTCTTAGCCTCAGTCAAGGACTCTCAGAATAGAAGAAACTTAATTGACAGTAGCTCGGATAGAAGAAAGACACAGAGATTTTAGCTGATAAGCCCAATAAGCACTTCAAATGGGATATGGCTGCTACACAGTATGATCCCAGGTTGTATCAACAGAAGTATAGCTCCAGATCCAAGGAGGTGATAGTCTCTTTCCTCTTTGACCAAACAGGCTTTGTGTGGGACTCCAACCAACTGAATCGTGTCCAAAGCCAGGTCAAACTTATAATTTCCTAAGTCTGGGAGAATGCCTGAAATAACTACAGTTGTGTAGTCTGAATAAGAGAAATATCTGGGTTTGGAGGGAGATGGTCACTACCTCAAAGGGGCAGGAACAGACCTAGAAAGTGGAAGCTCCTAGAAAGCTAATTTGGGCTGCGCAAGATGGCTCACCCCTGTAATCCCAGCACTGTGGGAGGCTGAGGTGGGCAGGGCACCTGAGGTCAGGAGTTTTAGACCAGCCTGGCCAACATGGAGAAACCCCCCCCCACTAAAAATACAAAAATTAGCTGGGCGTGGTGGCGGGCACCTGAAAACCCAGCGACTTGGGAGACTGAGGCAGGAGAATCACGACTGCATCTCAAAAAAAAAAAAAAAAAAAGAAAGAAAGAAAGCTAATTTGGCTAAATCTCAGGAAGACTTCCTCCCAGTTAGAGCTGCCTACCCGTGGAAATGTGGCTTCTGGAAGAAATATACTATGGCCAAGACCATGGGTAGGCTGTGGCTCTGAGGGCTTGAAGAGCTGCCTGGTCCGGAGATCTGATGTCTCTCTTCCCTGGAATTCAGTCTTCTCTTTTGAAAAGGCAGAATGCTTCCCTGGCCGTTTCAGGAAAACATATGGCCTCTCCTGGGTTCTTCAGCAATGGCTCTGGGTGACGATGCTCGCTGATTTCCAACCAAGAAATGTAGTCCCTTTAAACTCCTGTCCTTGGGCTGGCTGGCTCAGAACCACAATAAATGCACAGGCTTGTGGGTCTGCAGCCCTGGGTTTGAAGCTGGACTCTGCCACTTAGGAGCCGTGTCACCCGGGTAAGTCTCTTCCTCCAGGAAATGAACAGGACACCCACTCACCTCCAGGCCTGCACCCAGCACAGAGCCGATGTGGATTCCAGCCTCCACTGCCAGAGGCCGTGGTTGGGGATGTGGTTTTGATATGATTTAAGCTCATGACATTTATTATGCATTTTATTTCTATTATTATTATATTTTAATATATAATGAAATAATTATACAACTCACCATAATGTAGAATCAGCGGGCGCCCTGAGCTTGTTTTCCTGCAAGTAGACGGTCCCATTTAGGGGTGATGGGAGACAGTGACAGATCATCAGCAATTAGACTCTCATAAGAAGCATGCATCTGGGGCTGGGCACGGTGGTTCATGCCCGTAATCCCAGCACTTTGGGAGGCTGAGGCGGTGGATCGCCTGAGGCCAGGAGTTCGACACCAGCCTGGCCAACATGGTGAAAACCCCTCTCTACTAAATATGCAAAAATGTGCCAGGTGTGATGGCACAGACCTGTAATCAAACTACTAGGCTGAGGCAGGAAAATCACTTGAACCCAAGAGGCGGAGATTGCAGTGAGCCAAGATCACGCCATCGCACTCCAGTCTGGGTGACAAGAGCAAAACTCTGTCTCATTAAAAAAAAAAAAATTTTAAAAAGCACACAACCCAGATTCCTCACATGTGCAGTTCACAAAAGGTTTCAGGCTCCTGTGAGAGTCATCTGTTGCCTATGAGATCTGACAGGAGGCTGAGCTTGGGTGGTAACGCGAGCCACGGGGAGCGGCTGTAAACACAGATGAAGCTTCGCTCACTCACCCACCACTCACCTCCCGCTGTGTGGCCCTGCTCTGTGGGGACTCCTGGCCTGAGACACTGAGGAAGGTGCTCATTCATAAAATAATGTGTAAAATGATTGGATCGCCTGTAAAATGGGGCTTGGAGGAAGCAACCCTGGGCGGCCCACATTCATGGTGTTGCTGGGCAGGCAGACGGCAGGGAGCACACCAACCATGTAAAAAAAGTAGATCGAGGCTGGGACTGGAGGCTCACGCCTGTCATCCCAGCACTTTGGGAGGCCGAGGCGGGTGGATCATAGGTCAGGAGTTCAAGACCAACTTGGCCAAGATGGTGAAACCTCGTCTCTACTAAAAATACAAAAATTAGCCGGGCGTGGTGGTGGGCACCTGTAATCCCAGCTTCTCGGGAGGCAAAGGCAGAGAATTGCTTGAACTTGGGGGGCAGAGGTTGCAGTGAGCCGAGATTTCACCACTGCACTCCAGCCTAAGTGACAGAGTGAGACTCTGTCTCCAAAAAAGGTAGATTAATCTAAATGGAAGGTAGATTAATCTAAATGGCAGGTGTGTCTTCAGCAGTCAGGCATAGTTTTCATTGTGTTTAAACACCATGGTGAAGACTGAGGACTCCGGATCTTCTAGGTTCACAGCCCTGCTCTGCCACCTTCAGGCTGTGTGACCCTGGCCAAGTCACTGAACCTCTCTGTGCCTCTGTTACTTCATCTGCAACATTTGCGTGAGAGTAGCTCCTATCTGGTAGGGTTATTATACAAGTTACATGTGACAATGCAGGTATCTGGCCCTGGCTCCCTCCCTGGCCTCTTTTCCTATACCTCTGTCTTACTAGGTTCAATCCAACTACACCAGCTTCCTTGCTGTGGGTCAAACACACCAAGCTCATTTGCGCCTCTGAGCCTTTGCGCTCTCTGTTCCCACTGCCCAGAGAGATCACTCTTTCCCCGGAGGTCCACCTGCCTTGATATATCAGGTCTCAGCTCAAAAGCCACCTCCTCAAAGTCGCCAACTCCAGAAGGCTTTCAGCTCCATGAGGACCCTCAGTTCTGGGTCACTCACTCCCGTGTCCCCAGCCCCCGGCACATTGGCTGAGCAAGGGTTAAGTGCCTAACCTTGGGCTGGCACTCGAGACTGTGAGCGTGTGTTACATGTCACATTCAACTTTGCTCAGCAGGCTAGAGGCGCTAAGACCCAGCACACAGCCCCTTCTGGGACCCACTTCCTCCATTTCCAGATGCAAGCCCAGCCGGAGACCATCCTCAGCTGAGAGGTGACAGCACCCAGGCTGGCTTTAGCGCAGACTTCAGATGTTTTAAGCAACTGAGAGGAGGTGAGGAGGCCTGCGGGGGCCCCTAAAGAGAGAATGAGTCAGTCAGAGCCAGACCTGAAACCTCAGACACATCAGCATTTCTTGGAAAGGCGAGAACAGATGCATTTAGACAGAACTGTGCGGGCAGAATGCGGGGTAAGCACAGGCCGGCCAGGAAGTGGAGTGTTCCGTCCCCTCTGAGTCCCTCCACCCGGCCCTCTCTTCCTCAGACCCCTATCCCTCATCCCTCTCAAATGTCACCTCCTCAGAGAAGCCCTCCCTGATTCCACTTGCCCCCAGCTTTGCTTTCCTTCCTAGCGCAGTCTCCAGCTGATAGGATATTGCAGGTCCATGTTCTCTCCTGTAAAACCCTGGGGGCCAGACATAGTTCAGAATTCAGAATGACTCAGGATGTAGAAAGGTCATCTTGTATAAAATACCCTCTGATGTGACCCCCACGCAGGGTGGAAACAGCACCCAGTGATCAATTGCATTAATATCTCTGCAGCGAGTCATCCGAGCATCACACCAGGAGGAAAAAGACTAAAAAAACCTCGTGTTTAGCTTCCAAATAAGTTACGAAAAACTTCTGGTTTTCAGAGATTGTGGATTTCAGAATAACACAAAGCCGCTGACCTGTGCACAGGTATTGGCTGTACGTTCCCTGTCTGCTCAACGAGAGTCTAAACCCCAGGAGAGCAAGGACTTGGTCCAATGCTCTGGCACATATAGGTGCTCAATAAATTCCTGAGGAATAAAGGCAGGAGGAAGCCAGGTGCTGGATATGCAGAAGGGACTCAATCCAAAATGCAGAGAGAAACAGCAATCGCTGAGCCCCTTCCAAGAGCAAAATGTCTACAAAAACGATCTCATGAACGTTCTCCCTGCAAATACCCATGACAAACAAAGGGAGGCTCAGAGAAGGTAAACAGCTTCCTCCAGATTACACACTGGGAAGCTGGGAAGTAGCCAG